TTATTCATACAACCTAGTTGTTTGGAATTTTGCTTGGTGAGCTCATCAACAATAATAACAAACATTAAAATACATATATAAATACATACGCATACACAACTATATATGTACTATCAATTATAAGGAGTAAAATACAGATAATATTTTAGAATTCCAGCTTAAACCGATTTATTTTTCCATTAACGTATACGTTTTTCATCTAATATTTATATTTTATTTTATTTAATTTTTTCCGAAAATTATTTTTAATTGTTTTAGTTAACAAAAACAACACTGTTGTCTGCTTCACAGGAGATTTGCTCTCACCACCAAGATCCCCGACACAAAGGGATGCCACAAGTGTTGCATCGGTAAAACTTTAAACACTTCTGTACAAACACAAACACACACACTCGGATTGAGTTTGATCTGCTCACTTTCTCTCTCTTTCAGTGCGGAATCCATACACAGGTCACAAGTATCTCTGCGGAGCTTTGCAGTCTGGGATCGTTTTGCTGCAGTGGTACGAACCTATGCAGAGATTCATGCTTATAAAGGTTAGACATGCAAAAAACTATATTTGCAAACCAGAAGGAAAGTTGAATTAAATCCAGACTGAATAAAACATAATGGCATATTACATTATGAAGCTTTTAAATCTTTATCTCTCTCTCTCACAGCACTTTGATTTCCCATTGCCCAGTCCGCTGCGTGTGTTTGAGATGCTGGTGGTCCCCGAGCAAGAGTATCCTCTGGTGTGTGTGGCGGTCAGTCAGGGCACAGAGCCGGGACAGGTGGTTCGCTTCCAGACCATCAACCTCAATTCCTGCTCGTCCTGGTTCACTGAGATTGGCTCAGGTGTGGCGCGCTCTCAATCTCTCTCTCACACACACAAACACACAGACACTTGATTCGGCTCCTTCATACTGTCCTATACCATGCTTTTCAGTACTTTCAAATGGACCTAAAAGTGTTAGTGTGTATGTTTATCTTGGTGTAGGAGGTAACCAGGTCGATGCGATCCATGTGACGCAGCTAGAGAGAGACACTGTGCTCGTGTGCCTGGACAGTGAGTGAAACAACATTCAACATACACATTGATAATCATTATTTTACAAACTTAAACACAAAAATTATTAAAGACTTCTAATGTTCTCTCTTTTCATGTGTGTGTTTAGAGAACGTAAAAATAGTGAACTTGCAGGGAAAGCTAAAGTCTAATAAGAAACTGGCGTCCGAGCTGAGCTTTGATTTCTGTGTCGACTCCGTAGGTGAGAGATTCACTTCTGCACTCGTACAGCTGTGATCTGCTTTTATTCTGTTGTATAGTGTTTGATGGGTAAAGATCTTGAGAAATGTAGCATTACATCACTTGCTCACCAGTGGATCCTCTGCAGTGAATGGGTGCCGTCAGAATGAGAGTCCAAACAGCTAAAAACATCACAATAATCCACAAGTAATCCACACAAATTTTTAACTTCAAACCGCCAAAGTACTGGAGTCCATAGAGTCCCTAATCCATAATAATTCTGCCTCCAATAAAAAAAAGTCCATCCCCTTTTGTCCTCTCTCATCAAAATCCACTGCAGAGGATCCATTGGTGACCAAGTGATGTAATGCTAAATTTCTCCAAATCTGTTCTGATGAAGAAACTCATCTATGCCTTGGAAGGCCTGAGGGTAAGTAAATTTTCAGCAAATTTTAATTTTCTTTCATTTTCTGGTCTTTCTGACAAAGACCACCTATGTAAACAAATTAAACTTCACGAATCAACTAGTTGTATGACAACTAGTTGTATAGTTTTGTAGTTACAGCTCCAGCAGCATTATATTTTATTTGTTAATTTTTTTGCATTGAGTTTTCAAATGTGTGGACAAGTAAGTGTTTTTTTTTTTATATGCATACTTGTACAAAAGTTTCATTAAATAGCTCTCCTGGAACTTTGTTTTCGGCAGGTATACAGTTGTTTATTAAAGTTATTTTTTTTTCCACTTGTCTGCAGGTGACACAGGAGATTTCGGACCCAAGCAGAGTGTTCAGACTCCTGGGATCAGACAGGTTAGAACCGGATCAAATCATTTCTGTCACTCTTTCTTTCTTTTGTCTCCTGGAAACATTACTCTCTGCCTCTATGTCTTCCCAGAAACTCTGCATGTAGCCTTTTTACCTTTGCACATGCAGTGGACAGAAATAAGAGACAAGAGGAGGGAAAAAGCCAACAGGGAGAACGTAGTGTCTCTACTGGTTTTGTTTCTATAGTGAGGGAAGCCCTGGGTTAGGTTTATGAGAGGACCTGAGCTTTGTATGACGTACGGGGTTAAATTAGGTCTGTCAATTTAACACCCAAGCTCATTGATGAGGGTTTTGTTCTGCTGTCTCAGACTGTTTCCTGCCAACATTCTGCCAACACAAAACCGTATTTGTGTCACCATACATTGATGCCACATACACAATGGCCCTGCACCACCCCCAAGACCCTCTTTAGGACATTCTGTCTCTCTTTCACTCTCCCTCTGAGATCTCCATATTTTATTTACACTGGCAGTGCCAGGCTTGTGTCTTAGTGCTGTAATTTCATCTGTCGCCTGCCTGCTGCTGAGGACACGACCAGCCTCCCGTTTGCACCAACCTCACGCAACCCCTCTATATTTGCATAATCATGGCTTTCTTCCACCGTTTTACACTCATCTCCTCTATATGGTACATGTTGATTCTGATAAGAGTATTTGCGTGTTAATATTTGTGGCCATCTGTGCATTCTAGGGTTGTTGTTTTGGAGAGCCGGCCTACAAATAACCCTACTGCTCTCAGTAACCTCTACATCCTGGCTGGACATGAGAACAGTTATTAGCTCCGCCTCCTTCAGCCGTTCAGGCACGCTGCACCCGGAGCCGTTGCAGTACCCATGATGCATTCGTTTCGGAACGGCACCAACGCTGGACAACCACAGCTGAGCTGATGAGCAGACTGTGTTTAGTGCTAAATCTCACTGCAGCCTTATGCCATACGCTGCCCACCACCAGAGACTTCTCGCCACTTCAGGCAGCAGCCAATCAGATTTTTGCAAATCAAGCAAGCAATCGCCAGAACTGCAAGCAATAGTGCTCTGTGTTAAATACTTTGTTTTTTCAAACCCTATTAAATGTAATCATTCTAAACATTAAACCAACATCAGAGCTGTAAAGATAGAACATTGAGCAAAATGCATTGCTGCTCAAAAAGTGCCATATAAGGGAACGGTTTTATTAAACGTAACTAACTTCTGAGGTTTTGTGTTAATGTGGATTTAAAATGTCAGGTTTTCATGCCGGCTAAAGGGGAGAGTTTTGGGAGAATGAGTGAGTGTTATTTATTCAGCTGAGTCATGTGAGTGAAGCATCTGGCCCTCATGTTACTGAGTGAATATTTTTCTGCTGCAGGTCATTTTCTCTTTGTTTGTTGTAGCGGTTTTATTTTCTCCAGCGGAGTAATATTTTACAATTTCAGTTATCTCTTTTTAAATGTAACTTTAATTCAATAGTTGCACCATGTAAGCACTTTTGTACATGTTCTTTTTTTTTGTATTTAAAAATGACTAAACATGGGAGATGTGAGGTTACTGTGATATCTCAAGTGTTTCCGTTGCTTTAGTTTTAATGTATGCAGCTTTCGTAATAAAAAGGCAATTGTTAATACTTTGGGATGTTTATGAAAGTTATTTCAGATTTTTTTAAAAATACACTAATTATAATGAAAATATCTCAAAACCAACATATTTGGGCTTGTATTTTTGTTGTAGTTGTACTAATTAGTACAAGTACACTATATACAAGTTTGTAGTGTGCTGTGTGACCAACTAAGGGGCTGGTTTGTTGTTCTTACACCTTATTTTAATAAGAAATAACATTCTCTTGCGGATTTATGTGTGAGAAAGAGTGATTAACAGAAAGTCACCTCACGCTCGCGCACACTGTTAGGGGTGTACAGGTGGAAAAAACTGCGTGACATTTAATTTATGTCATAGGATGCATGGATTTACATTCCTACTGCTCTCGTTTCGTAAATGGCTGATCTGAGGTCAGATCGCGCGGATTGTTTCGCGCTTTCAGCGTGTTGCTGTGCAGATTGAAGCGCGCGTAGAGTGGAGGCGGAGTCTCGACGCGGTTGCTATGGCGACGGGCCGCTTGTAAATAGCGTGTTTTCTCCATGCGAACTCGAACACATTTCTCGCGGCGCGCGGACACGGCTGTATCTGACCGTCAGACTCACTCAGCACAACACAGCTCCGCTTATTTGACGAATTTCGATCTCAGGAAATTGCTGTTTTGTGGACGCTTTCATTTTTTATCATAAAGCAAATATTTGGATGAGACATTGGAAGGTAAGCTGGATACCTAACGTTATGCTCTCTATATATTATTAGATAATATAAGATGTATGCATATTGTATGTTTATGTTTTCGAGTTTTCTTGGTGCTGAGGTAAACTGGACAGTTTAGTACGTGACACTAGAGCAGTAGACTTGACTAGAACAGATCTTTACCACAATCATGTTTCATAACAGTAATGTCTTTCAGCACAAGGAAGACTTCAGTTACCTCAAAATACAAAATAAGAAATAAAGTTAAGTGACCTGCTGATATTATGTAAATAAAAATAATGTGAGGAGTTTGGTTCCCTAGTGGAACTTTTACTGGCCCAAAACAATTTCTAAATGTTATTTTTAAAAAAGGTAACGTTAAGTTAAAGAGGCCCAGAAAAATATACAGTAAGAATCTTTGGTAGCACTTTATTGTACAGTGTCCATGTTACATATTACATGTGCTTACTATAGTAGTACTTCTTTGTATAATTACACCGTAATAAAATATAACATTTTTATCTCCAGCCCTGTATGTGTCATTTTTCACATTTAGATCAACATCAAAGTGAGGCAGTATCTTAAGTGTGTTCTGCTGGTGTCACAGAGATGGAGAAGTATGAGAAGATCAGTAAGATTGGCGAAGGCTCGTACGGCGTGGTGTTCAAGTGCAGGAATAAAGACACCGGACAGATCGTTGCCATCAAGAAGTTTGTGGAGTCTGAGGATGATCCCCTCATCAAGAAAATAGCGCTCCGAGAAATCCGCATGCTGAAGGTACACACTCAGTCTGACACTGCTGGAATAATCCCAGCATAAACCAGCCTACAATGATTTGTTGGTTTAAAGTAGTTCCCCATCCTGGACAAGCTGGTTTTGTAGGATGGCCAGGTACGCCCAGATCCCCTTTAAAACCAGCCATCAGACAGTAAGACCAGCCAAGCAGTTTAGGCTGCAGATGTTGAAGTCTTTTTGATTCTTGTTTTGTTAATATCGTCGTTTGTAGACTTGAAGAATAGTATTAGTAGTATTTTATTGCATTAGTGGGACAGGATGTTTTAATAATCGGTGTCTGGAGCTCTTGTGTGATTTGCAAACTCTTTCCTTTGAGCTGAGAGCAAAGCAGTGGCCCTTTGAAGATCTGACATATCAGCCAACACTGGCTTACCAATTAATTTCACTCTGTTATGCATGAATGGATGGATGAATATTCTTGTTGTTCCCTTCGCCTTTCTTGAGTTTTTTTTTTTCCAGGAGGTTGCTGTACCACAGGGCTGCAGATGTTGAAGTCTTTTTGATTCTTGTTTTGTTAATATCGTCGTTTGTAGACTTGAAGAATAGTATTAGTAGTATTTTATTGCATTAGTGGGACAGGATGTTTTAATAATCGGTGTCTGGAGCTCTTGTGTGATTTGCAAACTCTTTCCTTTGAGCTGAGAGCAAAGCAGTGGCCCTTTGAAGATCTGACATATCAGCCAACACTGGCTTACCAATTAATTTCACTCTGTTATGCATGAATGGATGGATGAATATTCTTGTTGTTCCCTTCGCCTTTCTTGAGTTTTTTTTTTTCCAGGAGGTTGCTGTACCACAGACTTTAGTCCATTTATTTTATTTATTAAGTCATTTATTATTTTGTCTTTAAAGGGGGTTCCAGTTTATTCTAAACTCTAAACTTCTGAACTCTTGCAGTTGAAGATGGTTCTAGGATTTATTCTGGGGTGGATGGTGATCTGTTTCTGTTGGTGATATGGGGCAGTGTCATTTTACTATCGTTTATATACTATTATAATATTTGTTCATATTTTGAATTCGCTTTTTTTATATTTCAGTTTTCATTTTAATTTTAGTAATTTGTGATGTGCTTTTGTCATTTTTACTAATAATAAATTATTAATTATTTTATTTTATATCATTAATAATTAAAAAAAAATTATATTAAGCTTTATTTTTATTTCAGTTTTAGTTTTAGTAATTTTAGTACTTCAACTAATTTATTTCAGTTAGTTACCAAGGCAACATTTCCATCCAATAAAGTTTTTCCATCTAATATTTATATTTTATTTTATCAATCAAAAATTAAAATTAAGTTTTAGTTTTAGTTAACAATATCAACACTGATATGGGGTGTGTTTGTCATTGTGTGTGTTATGAAATATTTGATAAGACGGAAAGCAGCTCATCTTTTTTTAACATAATATTTGTGTAAACACTTGAATGCTAAATCAAATGTACACACATAAAGTGGGGTCAAAAGTTTCAGACTGCATTGGAAATATGAAAGTTTTATCATCTGAACTTATAAATAAAGTTTTAGGATTTTGATGATGCAAAATTAATAAGAAATAGTTAAGACTCTGCAGTATTTGCTCACTATAAAAGTAAGAACATTTGTGACATTGGCTATGTGAAGTCCTCTGAACAGACAATCAGATGTTCTTCCTTTCATTAAAGCAACATCTCAAATTATGCTGGTGGAGAACATGATTATTAGGTTTTACACATATTTGTAGCGTTCATCTTTAAAGCAAAAGGGGGACTAACCAAATATTAACATGCTCTGAAAAACTTAATTAAATTAGAATCAGATAAGAAGCATTTTCTCTAGTGTTCTTAGACTTTTTTGGATATGTTTCCACTCATAAAAATCCTGATTTGTTCATTACATTGTGTGTGTGTTTAGCAACTGAAACACCCAAACCTGGTGAATCTGATTGAGGTGTTCAGAAGAAAGAGAAAACTGCACCTGGTGTTTGAGTACTGCGACCACACCGTCCTAAATGAGCTGGAAAGACACCCAAGAGGGTGAGAACACACACACACACACACACATACATGCAGACACACTTATAAAACAGCTCTGTGTTTCTCACACTAACACATATTGTGTTTTTGTTGCTATGACGCCCAGCATGTCTTTAGTGGAATGTTTACAGCAGGATGCATTTGTCCTCTGTGGTGCACTTGAGGGAGACACTGTTAAACATTTAACAACATTTAACTCTTTATGTGTCGTCCTCTTGATTTACAAGTCAAGAATAAACAAAGCTCACACAATAGAGCACTCATACATGCACATACACACTATATCATCAGAACCTATAGGGCTAGTGTGGAGTTCAGTAGGAGGGTTGAGATAGACAGAAGGAATGGAGAAGAATGAATGGTTAAAGTGAGGTTTGAGTTCAACTGCATTGTAACGCTTTTTGTGTGTATGTGTGTGTTCACTTAGCGTTCCAGAGCACATGGTTAAAAGCATCATCTGGCAAACACTTCAGGCTGTGAACTTCTGCCACAAACAAAACGTAAGAATTTCAGACTTGTTGCTGCTGTCTCACACTCTATTGCCTTAACAGTATTACTTTCACAGATTTAATGCCTTTGCCCAGATTAAAGAGTTGAAATGTACCCCTTTTATAAAATATAAAGGCAGCTGCTTTTATACTGTTAGAATTTTTTTGTGTGATATTGACTTATATTATAAAGAACAGTCTTATTTTAGTACCACTGATGTACTTTTACAGTATTTATTGATATTTGGAATCAGTTTTTATTTTTATATACATTTTTTCCATTTTTTAAATATATTTTTATTTTTTTTAGTTACTTTGTTGTGCATTTTTGTCATTTTAGTAATTTTTCTTATTTGTCTATATAGTTTTTATTCATTTTTATTTAAGTTTTAGTGTTAATTATTTTAGTACACCAAGTTAAGCTAAATTAAAATAAGATTTTTTTATTATTATTATTGAAACATATTACATTATTCAATTTAAATTAATCATAAAATGTTTTTTTTTAGTTTTTTAGTTCACTATAATAACCCTGATAAAGAAATTTCTTTTTTTCCTAAATTAAAAAAAATTGTGACTGCACTAAAGCAAGTTATTACAATATTATCTAGAAAATATTTACTTTGTATAAAGTATTCAAATTCTTTAAATATGTTAAATATATATTGCATTAAACATAGTTATAAATTAATTGAATATATTAAGCTAACATATTTGTTAATTTGTTAATATTTTTTATTTTTTTAAATTCAAATTATTCACAGACCCCCTAGAACCCCTAATTTAAAAGAAGTGATTTTTATTTTGTTTTGTTTTGTTTCGTTTCACAAATTGGATCTGCCACCTATTTTAGTAAATCCCCAACATCATATGTATATATGTATACATATCATAAACAGTCTAGAATTGGAACCAGCACTAATTTTAGTGGATCCACCACCTAATGACTCTGTGAAAGAAGTCAATTTAATTTTAGTAAAGCATCTTCATTTTGTTTTAAATCAGATGTTTTGGAGACTGAGTAATTTAAAAATTTGTTTTTAGTGTATCCACAGAGATGTGAAGCCTGAAAATATTCTCATCACCAAACATCAGGTCATCAAACTCTGTGACTTTGGCTTTGCCAGGATCCTCAGTGCGTGTGTACACATACACATATATATCCATACACACACACACTCTCTACCTTCAACTTTCCATTCATCTAATAACTCGCTCTTTTCCAGCGGGTCCATGTGATTATTACACGGATTATGTAGCGACACGGTGGTACAGAGCTCCAGAACTGCTAGTAGGAGACACGCAGTACGGCCCGCCAGTGGACGTCTGGGCAGTAGGGTGTGTGTTTGCAGAGCTGCTCTCTGGTGCTCCTTTATGGCCGGGCAAATCCGATGTAGACCAGCTGTATCTGCTCAGGAAATCTCTGGGTAAGAAACACACATAACTCCAGCTGTTCATATGATATGTGAATGGATGCATGTAATGAATAGAATTTATTTGTGTGTTGTTGTGTTCATAGGCGAGTTGATTCCTCGACACCAGCAGGTGTTCAGCACTAACCAGTTCTTCAGTGGAGTTTGTGTCCCTAAACCACAGGAGATGGTCAGATGATCAAGGTTTCAAGTTTATTTTCTGAAGATCTTAAAAAGTAAACCCGTTCACACTCGATATGTGTCTAATCTATAGGAGCCTCTTGAACTGAAATATCCAAATCTATCGTACCAGGCGCTGAGCCTCATGAAGGTCAGTTAAACACACACACACCATTCATACAGAAGTCCGCTGTGCACTCAGATCCAGTACCAGCTTGTCTGTCTGTTGTCTGTCTTTCTCAGGGTTGTCTGCGGATGGACCCGGCTGAGAGGTTGTCCTGTGAGCAGTTACTAGAACTGCCATACTTTGACAGTCTGCGAGAAGAGAGCGATAGTGTGACACGTGAACTGGACCGCAAGAGACGTACACGCAAACCACGCAAACACCTGCCTCCTGGGGTCTGTTGCCATTGACTACAACACTCACATCTAGGGCTGGGCAGTGTGACCTTTATTGTGTGTGAAGCTATGGAGTTCAGTAGTTATCAATTATTCCAGTAGTTTATCTCCTAAAAAATATTTTAGAGATAAACCACTGGAGATGAAGGATCATGTGACTCTGAAGACTGGAGTAATGATGCTGAAAATTAAGTTTTGCCATCACAGCATTAAACTGTTTTAAAATAGAAAATAAAATAGAAAGAGTTAGTTCAAGTTTTTACTGTATTTTTGTTTAAAAATGCAGCCTTGGTGAACATAAGAGGCTTCTTTCAAAGACATAAAAAAAAAAAAACTTACCAACCCTAAGCTTTTGAACAGTACTTATGTAACAGAATATTTATTTATATATTTAGGTTTATTATTATTTTTATTTGATCATTTTTCAGGTATAAACATAACTATATTACGAAAAAAAAATTTTTAAATACACTAGATTAATAAAACGTTTTGGTCATACTGCCCATTACTACTTTTACCCATAGAAATCTCCTATTTAGTTTCATATTTGAAATCCTCGTTCTGTCTGTGTAGTACCTGCCTCAGTTGGCCAGCAGTACCATCTTCCCAGCCGTGGAGAACAGAAAATGCTACAACAACCTGCGCAAATTCAACTATCATCTGCCCAACATATGATGGATGTCAACTCATCAAGAACCCGAGAACTGACCGACCACCTCCCAGCTTGTGTATGTATGTGTGTGGGTGTGTGTGTGTGTGAGGATAGACAAAGGGCTCTGCTCTGCCTGTAGAACAATGATGTCACACTGCCAAAGACTCACAGAGGCATTTCTGTAATATGTAAAATGACAACAGCAATACTAATATTGTTAAAACTGAATGCTGTGTTTAATAGTTGGATTAGAAACTGACATCAGTGCTGTAGAAGAGTTTGCTCTGTGAGAGAATTTTTTTTTTGTTTTTACCTCTATTAGATCCAGATATTTTTCTTTATTATAAATCCTAATGATGCTTCATGTATGTTTGAAGTGTGTATATATGACTAAAATCATTTCTAGAGACGTAACCAGACCCAGACAGAATCAACACACTTTTTTCAGATTTTCTGTAGATAAAAACTGTGGAATTTTCCAGTATGGATTTTAAAAATCAGAATTCTGAGTTGCTGAAAGTACAATCAAGTTAGCCAAATTATTTAATAAATGAAGGCTTTGGGGATGTGTAGAACTCGTTTGAATTGTGCAGAAATCTGTGGCTCTTTCTGTGTGGGCCTGGACATAATCCTGTATTTTGTTTAACATTTATTACCCCATTGTGGACATAATGATATTTTTGTTGCCTTTATGACTGGTGCTAATAATTGAGCCACTGACTTGCACCAGATGCCAAATTTGAGAGATGTGATTCACAAA